ACGAGACGAGAGAGAGAGAGAGAGAGAGAGAGAGAGAGATGTGGAATGTGATTCCAGTTTGATATATCACCATTACTAGAACATCGTGAAGGGATGGTCTTTTGGTGGGGCCGCATGCATGGGAGAAGGATGCCGTGGGTAGTGATGCCCTCGGTAGAGATGAAGCCGTCGATGAACAGCGTAGCGCTCGCCAGCAACAAACGTGACATTGCCGCCCTTTCTCAGCCGTTCTCGTCTGTCGGAGCATGGTGGAAGGCGCTCCATGCGGTGCGGTGCACCAGCGTGGAATTGAGTCACGACGGCGGGACAAGATGGAGGAAGGTTGGAGAAAGCGAACGTTGCCGGGCTCGAGGGAGAAACGCGGCGACGAAACCGCGCTCGAGGACCTCGTTGCTGGCCGTGAAGCTCACGGTGGGCTTGTCGTCCAGAATCGATTGATCTAACGTGGCCCATGTTTTTTTAACATGCAATGTATTTCGATCTAAACATTTATCAACCTCGTATCGGTATCTTAACAGATAAATCCTATATATTTGAGATTAGTAGAAAATAGATAGATATACTGATCCAGATGAAAAAATTTCAAAGCACATACCAATACACAGGAAGCAAATACCAATCCCCGTGAACACTACAAGTAGACCAAAATGGAGAAATTGAAGGCGGGCTTAAAGTCCACAGGCAAATTTACTTTGGTACGGCAACATAAAAGGATGACATTCACACGACGATAACCGGAAAATGAGAAACAAAATGTCAAACTTCCTAAACATCCATAGAAAATAACAACCAGAATAAAACCAACAGCGGAAACATTAAAACTTAGTAATCTTCAGGCTCCTCCTCCTCGTCATCTGCGCCCTCTGCTCCAACCTCCTCGTAGTCCTTCTCGAGGGCAGCCAAGTCCTCTCGTGCTTCCGAGAACTCACCTTCTTCCATTCCTTCACCAACATACCAGTGAACAAATGCACGCTTTGCATACATGAGGTCGAACTTGTGATCGATCCGTGAAAACACCTCTGCAACAGCAGTATTGTTGCTGATCATGCATACGGCACGCTGAACCTTGGCTAAGTCTCCTCCAGGGACCACCGTCGGCGGCTGATAGTTAATTCCACACTTAAAACCAGTAGGACACCTTCATGAAATAGGACAGAATTATTAATTCAAAAGCACGATAACATGTTGCGATTCACAATTTCAGATCAATTAAAACAGGAGGGATCTTAGCGCAGGCTCACCAGTCCACAAATTGGACAGTTCTCTTGGTCTTGATGGTTGCAACAGCAGCGTTAACATCCTTGGGTACAACATCTCCCCGGTACATAAGACAACAAGCCATGTACTTTCCATGCCTTGGATCACATTTGGCCATCATGCTGGATGGCTCAAATACTGCATTTGTGATTTCAGGGACTGAGAGCTGTTCATGGTATGCCTTCTCAGCAGAAATAACAGGTGCATACGAGGAGAGCATGAAATGGATCCTAGGATATGGAACGAGGTTGGTCTGGAATTCAGTGACATCCACGTTAATGGCTCCATCAAACCTTAGAGAGGTAGTCAAGGAGGATATGATCTGAGATATCAACCGGTTCAAGTTGGTATATGTTGGCCGCTCTATATCTAGAGACCTTCTGCAGATATCATAGATGGCTTCATTGTCTAATAGAACCGCAACATCAGTGTGCTCAAGCAAGGAATGAGTGGAAAGGACACTGTTGTATGGTTCGACAACTGCTGTAGAAACCTACAAATAAAATATCACAGGATAAGTCCACTGTTGGAAGATACAGTAGATAAGATCAACATTTTCACAGGCATTCGCCAATGTGGCCATGAGTACCCAGCTAACCAAGGCCTAAACAACAAACAAACAACATCCACTTGTCATCAACGAAGTAAAGTGTTATAGATATGACCCATGCTAAGGTACAATTAATCCAAGGACGTAATATAGAGATTATTTTTAAGATTAATCAATATCGTCTCCCGATATGAACCTTAATGTAGATTCTAGACAATCTTACATTGTTCTGATAAAAATCTATGCTGCACAGAAACTGCAAATTAAACTTTAACCCTGATCGGCACAGTACAAACATTAAGGAACCAACAGGGGCTTTGATATGCACCTTTGTTTTCCATTATGATTTTCCAAATAACTAATTCGACTTGTTTATCATGTTCAGATATAAAAATGCAAATTTTACTACTAGAGCCATTTACATCAAAATTCATAGATTATCAACGAAACAGTACTTGTTTTATCAAAAAAATATATGATTCTACTATGAAATGCTGATGTTATCTAATTGCCTAAAAATAGGTTTTTCTAGGTTCATTTAGTTTCGATAAAACTGTATTATATGCTACACAGTTATAGAAAAACAACTGCATTTTAAAGGCCAAAAGAATAAGAATGATACAAAAAGCATCAGAATTCAACAACACAGACCTACTTCACAGACAAGACTATCAGAGATTCATCATTAACCGGAAAGTAAAGAACCCTGCACAACTTGTTGATACCTGAGGAGAAGGGTATATGGTAAATCCAAGCTTTGACTTCTTCCCATAGTCCACAGACAAACGTTCTAACAGCAAGGAGCCCAAACCAGATCCAGTGCCACCACCAACAGCATTGAAGACCAAAAAACCTTGCAAGCCAGTGCAGTTGTCTGCTAGCTTCCTCACACGGTCAAGGCAGAGATCCACAATTTCCTTCCCCACTGCGGTTCACAAGAAGGGCCCAAAGTTAAATCGAGAACAAAAGAAATCCATCCGAAACGAGATGCCCCAATATGGAACAAGGAAATGCGTTGCTACCTGTGTAGTGGCCCCTAGCAAAGTTATTTGCAGCATCCTCCTTTCCGGAGATGAGCTGCTCTGGATGGAAGAGTTGGCGATAAGTCCCGGTTCTGACTTCGTCGATGACAGTCGGCTCCAGATCCACAAAGATGGCCCTCGGGACGTGCTTGCCGGCACCGGTCTCACTGAAGAAAGTATTGAACGCATCGCACGCCATTCCCACCGAGGAATCACTGATGGAGAAAATATATATATATATTAGAGATAAAACTAATAACGCCAGGAACCCCAAGCAAGCTACGGTTTTGCTCAAGTATCCACAGTGAAACTTCAAAACAGAAAAGGTAAGCAGAAAGGCGCAATATTTGACTAACAATCTTCAAATTATCTTGTTTTTTTTAAAACAATGGCATCAAATCAGTTCTGAAATCAAAATTTTCTTGAAAAATATAGCCAAGTTGCGGTCGATTTTTATGGGAAAAAGGCGATCTTTCCCCAGTGACCCCCTTCTTGGGCATCAGACACTTTCGTAGTCGAACCACATGAGCGAAATCCCTAGATCTCAATATACCCGAGACCTACGAGTCAATGACATGGGAAACACCACCGGATCTAACACAATGGCGCTCGAGCGCAACTCAAGATAAAGGAGATATAGAGAAATCAGAGACATCGGATGAGAAATGGATCGCTTGCAAAAAGAAAGAAAGACCTGGGCATGATGCCATCGGGCTGGATCCCGTGCTCGAGGCAGTAGAGCTCCCAGCACGCATTGCCCACCTGGATCCCGGCCTGGCCGATATGGATGCTTATGATCTCCCTCATCTCCTCCGCCTCTCCTCGTTCGTTCGTCTCCCTCGAGAATAAGCCCCAAAGATATACACCGGAAAAGCGGCAGGCTTTTATTCGGTGGGAGCAAAAGAAGGAAGAGAGACCGTAACGTGACGAGCAGCTTAACCGGATTCAATGATTGCTTTGGAGTCCGGGGGGAGGCCCGGTGGGCCCCACTTGTGGGCCCCGCCGTGCCGTGAAGAGCCGACAATTACTTAAAAAGACACAATTGCCCCAAAGTGATGCGAATTATTTTATTTTCTTTTTTTGACTTCATTATAATAATGACAACAGTGATGTTGGATTCGAATTATGAGACATCAACTCAGGTAATTGATTTTTTTTTCTCGATGTAATTACGTTAAAAAAATTCTCTTCCTTGTTTTTTCAAGAAATACTAATTTTTATTTTTATTTTTAAATATATATTTTATTTATCATAATATAAGAAAAATCTCTTTATAAGACAACTAGAATGTTTACCCCAATGTATAAGATTTATATAATAAGTTATAATATTTTAATATCTTTAAAATACTATAAATATATTTAAAAATACTATAAATAAGATAAATCAACTAAAAATTTAATAGAAACTAAATAGAGAGATTTTCATATTTTTAATATTTTTAAAATACTTTAAGTCTATTTCAAATATTATAAATAAAGAATTCGATCCATTCACTAAAATGGGTAAAAGTTACTATTTTCTCTTGTCAAAATAACTAAAAAATATAATGAAAATAATACTGATTGAGAGAAATATGAAAAATAAGTATATCTTGAAAAAAGCCCCCAAAAAAAATCCAAATATTCGTATATATATATATATATATATATATGTCCACAAAATGCAAGGGCAGTATGGGTAGATGAGGGCAAATATTAATGGCGAGGCATGTGAGTGTGCAGAGGCTGCTGAGCTGTTCGCTGCCAAAAGAGGTTGTCAAGCATATCCAGGGAATTACGAAAATGACACGGAGAAAAGATTACGTCAGCAGGTGTCGGTGGCTCACCGAACCATCACCGCCCATCTTTACCTTCCATCAATGATTGATTCTTGTTGGTGATCCATCATCCTCGATCGCCACCTCACTCCCTTCTTGATTCGGACAGGAAAACCAACCTTACCGAAACCGATGAGATAATGACATGATGAGGTTCTGAAACCTTAATTTCCCATCAAATTAATATCTTAATTTGTCATCACCATTATTTAGTACAGTATAAATTGGTATATCATCATGAAGATTACGAGTATGCATTAGCAATAAGAAGTCATCAATTGAAGCGTCGTCGTCGTCCTCGTCGTCTTGTTTTTGTTGTTGCTGCAGTAGAGATAATGTATAAATGGAGCTCCGATTTGGATCTTCCACCAAACTCAATCAGAGAGGAGGATCGCCCGTCACCAGCTGATGCAGCGACTGCTGCACTTCCATCCTTCACCCACCTTCAATCATAAGCTTTACAAGTGATCTATGTATCATCAGCACTGACAACTAAGTCTGCATGGTTGAGGACTATCATAAAGACACCTCACTTCCAACTTATGAATCCAACTCCGGTCATAGGAGCAATCAATGTTAGGCTCTCTAAACTTAACTTGGTTTCCTTTTCCTGCTGAAACAAGATCACGATGCAAAACATAGAATAGCTCATTAAATGTAAGATATCCCTTGCTTTTTTGAGGAAGAACACTGTGTGCTGTCTGGGTTCTACATATACGACCAGGGAGTGTTGGACATTCATGTTTTTGTGAGCATGACATGACGACTCTCTCTAGGCAATGAATAGATAACGTTGGTTATTGGATGAGTGAAGGCAAATCTAGACATGTGTGACGACATGATCCGAAGCTTAAAGTAAGGATCTTGTGTCCAAAGTGAAAACCTCTCTTGAGCATAGCATAGCTCTATGAGAGGGCAGCTCATCATTCTGGTGCCGGTTGCAGCCTTGTGGCGAATCCGGTTGTCCGAAGAGCTCAGCTGCTCTCTGCAGGAGAACTCATGGCAGCTTCTTTTGATGGCAAACGACTGTGAGAAGTCATCATGTAGGGATAGTTTGGTAGGGATATAGAGAAGCATAATGTGGCTTGTGGTGCAGACTGTGATTGGACTTACAGCTCTTGGATTTTGGCTTGAAGTCATATGACTCCAAATATTTTAGCTCTCTTGCAGGTCAAAAGGTGATCTCAAGAATGCTAGGAATCCTAGGAACCATTTCTTTAGTTGAAAGTGAAGAACATGATGATCCAACAACGAGAAAATTATAAGGAAAAAAAAATAAACCAGCATCTTTGAAAACTGGTTACAGATAATGTTTCTTTTATTGATTAAGTTTATCAGCTGCTTTGTATTAATTTTCTTAGTAAAGTTGTCATAAAGTCGTTAAACAATATAAGAAGCAACACGCTTATCTTCTTCGACAATCTTTAATAGATCCAATATTCCTTCGACTATGTTCGTATACTCTATCAAGTCTTCGCTTTCTTTCATTTTTAGCCTATATAAATTTTACCTTAGATACAACTTGCTAGGCAAGCTTTTTGTCATATAGTTTTTTTTAATTTATCCTAAATAATCATGACGGAGTTATCACCAATAATATTATTTGATAATATTATCAACGATATAAAAATAAATTACTCATGTACTTTGCCTCAAGCTCCTCTCAATTTTTGTCACTCATCTTTTTTTATTTGTCTACTCGTCCATTCAATATCCTTCATCCTCCTTTGTCATGTAATGAAACTATTTCTTCCATCAAATTTCTCTACAATAAAGCCAGCAGAAATAATCGATGATATCCTTGTTGAATCTCTAATCGCCAGATCTTTTGAGCTCTGATATCACTTTGTTGTGAATGAAGATGAGAATTTCAAAGCAAAAAAAAAAACTCTAGAGATCAATAATCAAAAACATACTAGAAAATCGACATAAGATTAATCGATAATTTATGCCTAGAAAAATTATATTCTTCAATATATGAGATCAATTACAATGCCCTTGAGTTATTTTACTCAATTATAACTTCGAGATAATTCTTAAGAGCAACCAAGGTATATTATCTCTCTCTCACAAAAATATAAGAATGGATGTATATTTATAGAAGCTAAATTCTAATTTAATTAGGACTCCAAAAAATATTTATTAATTTTTACTATAATATCATATTTATAGATAATTTTTGCTATATATATATATATATATATATATATATATATATATTCGCCCTCCAAGTAAAATAATAATATATTTTGACATGTATTAAGCCGATTTGAATTCAACCCAATGGGTAAAAGTGTTTTTTATTATGAGTTAAATTGAGACAAATCAACTAATTCACGCCGGAGGAACATTACACCGCCCAATCGAATGAAAGCCGACAACATACCAACAAAAGTGAGCATCGAAGGAACTGCCCCAATTCATCCCCTCCTTTTCGATCGATCCCATTGCCAACTCCTCCTCCTCTCGTTCTCCTTCCAATGGCTACGCCTTCTCTGCCTCTCCTCCTCCTCCTCCTCTCTTCCGCCTTCTCCCTCTTGGTTCCGCGATCCTCGGCGTCGGCGGCGCCCCTCTGCCCCAGATCGGACCTCGCCTTCGTTAGCGACCTCACGTTCCAGTGCCCTCGCTGGATCGACTTCCGTTCGCCGCTGGAGGTAACGCTTTGCTATTCGCTTTCTATATTATTGATTGCCGTCGGAATATGAGGCCTTGTTACTAAATTAACTCTTCCTTCTTGCTATTTGTCGTGGGGCTTCGACGGTTCCGCGCCGGTTGTTTTAATCGAGGGATAATTCACCTGCTAAATGATACTTTGTAATCGTGACAAAGGTTTTTCCCGAAAAACACCTGCGAAATCGTAATTTTCGGATGTATATTTATCCGAGCATGGGAATCGATCATGAAAATTGTGGCGTCTGCTCTTTTGAATTTGAATATGATTGTTTCGGAGTGCGCATGTGGTAGTGTGGAAATATGCTGATTCGTGCAGATTCTTATGGTTTGTAGTAAACTAAACTAGGGATATGGTTCGATGTTCATTTGGTCAGTATGGAACCCTGATGATGATGTCTAATATTGCTTCTTTTCTTCATAGTAGCTTAGAAGAAAGAAAAAAGCTCTTGTGCCCATACTTGTGAATGTCCTATAACAGATTACGAACTTGGAAAATGTTTTCCTAAACAAAGAAATGTTCGGTAAAGAAAGAGGAATAGTGTCAAGGACCGATGCAGCAGGCAATCTTAGTGGTAGAAGCTGTGACGGTTGTCGAAGATGGTGGTTGTACTTGGTGGTGACAGTGATCATTGTTATCATTATTCTTGTGAGTAGTTGTAATAGTAAGATTATTTTTTTTCAATCTAGGAGACCAGGCTTCAAGTCATAAAAATAACCTCTCTGCTTGTAGAGGTAAGTGTATCAGCCATCTCTAAACCTTGCATCGGTGAGAACAATGTTTACTGGTTTATCCTTGTACTAGTACTTATGATGGTGAACAGCAGTCATGCAGTGATATCTCAGCTACAACAATAGTTGTTGGTCTTAAGAGGGGTTCTATAAAGAAGTGTTTCTTTGAGAAGTCAAGAGGTCTGGATCTCGTAGATAACTTGTAAGTTCTTTTCTAAAAAGGCTCTTCAAAAATGTGTTCCACTAAAAATTTGAAGCTACTTTTTTGCTATAAGACCCTCAAAAAGCCTTTCCATAAACTAAGACAAAGACACCCTTAGTGTTACAAGCGTTGTATTTGCTCTTTCAAAATGCTCGATCTTTTGGAAAGACCCATATGGTGTCTCGTTGGAATATATAAATCTTACCAGTGGCGAGGTTATATTCAGAGCCTCAAAGTATCTCATGCCTAGCCACACCTTAGACATGAATTTTGACAACACTGTCTAGACGTATCGACTTTCCACACATTTGATGACATTTCTAAAAGCAGATGCAGTGCCCATATCATATATGTGATGGATACCAATGTTCATCTGATGCTTGCTATATATATATATATATATATATATATATATATGCTTGCTAGGTATATGTATATATGTATGTATATGTACATACGTATATACATATACATATATGGTTTTTGGTAGTTCTCTGAGTCCGTCTGGAGAAGATACTATTTTACTAAAAAATGATGCTTAGAGTTAAATCTGCTAGCATCTTTTGCACCTTGGTTGTTTTTTTGAATAGATCTGATGTTGCCCTTTTTGCTTCTGAAGGTGGATGGAGAGTCTCTAGACATAGAGTTGAGTCATGGTGAGAGTAATGGTTATTATTCTGTTCTGTTCTATGCTTCGTGGTGCCCATTCTCGAGCAGTATTCGCCCCATTTTTGATGTTCTTAGTTCCATGTTTCCACAAACAAAACACTTTTTAGTTGAAGAATCTACCACCATGCCAAGGTATGCAGTTGTAATCATATATGTCGATTTGTTGTGTTAATAACTTGGGTTTCCTTTTTCAGTGCTTGACTATGTTGTCTCATTTGTTTTCTTCTCACTTGCAACACAGTATTCTCTCTAGATATGGAATTCACAGCTTTCCGGCTATAATGCTGGCCAACCGGACAGCAGTGGTTCGATACCATGGTGCTAAAGATCTCAGTGCTCTTGTCCAATTTTACAAGAAAAATACAGGTTGGTTGACTGCTAGCTTTTCTTGCAATCATTTGTCACTACCCAAGAATTCCACATCTGATATGTTCTCCATGCTTTGCTAAAACCTTTAGGCATATCAGAACAAAGGCCATGTTATTAACATCGTTATATTCTGTCAGGGTCCATGTTTCTGTCTTGAGACTGACTGGCCTGAGATGGGACTGGTTTACTTTAAGATGGATAGAAATTTAGATGTTTATCGGGACACTGAGCACCTGGTTGCCTTCATGTCTCTTATTCAAGGACAAAGCCAACTAGATGTGAGAAGAGACCAAGACCCAAGATACATAGACAGTCATACATTTTCTTTTGACGTGTATATTTACATATATGTATGTATGTATCTTTCTATACATAATTTTTTTCTTTATTATGGCATAATTCTTGACGATATGTTACTTTTCTGCTTTTCGAGATTTATGGGAGTCCTCATGATTAGTGTATTATGGTTTAGAGAATCTAACTAAGAAAATTGGTATTATTTCATAGTGCCCCTTATATGTATTTGTTTTTTTGCTGTCCTGTGCAGGTTTTGATCCAATTGCATACTTGGTCGTCCACCGACCCACTAATTCAAGAAAGGTGAGGTCCCTAATGCATCAGACTGGATCTCCAAGGGAACTAATAACCAAGGAACCCTTTATGGTGCTTGGAGTACTTTTCATGTTCATGAAGATAGTCCTATCCTCCATCCCTGTTATTTACGCCCATCTCAAAGCTCTCTGGGTGTCAAATGCCTGGCACCTGAACTTGCACGTCCTCAGCGAGTCATCCCAGCTGTTGGTACGAGTGCTACATGTAGTTGATGTCAAGAGACTCTGGAGCGAGCTCAAGCTGGACAACAAGACGAGGAACCTGAGGAAGAAGGGAGCAAGCAATGCTCGGGCCTGGGCTTCCACTCTAACCTCCGTGTCACTAGGTGAATCGTCTTCATCGAGAACCGCCCCTTCCGAGTCATGATCTCCTGCCGCCACCAAGTCCTCTTTGTATCCTTTGGTGTCATCTGTTATCCTCCATGTATGTAAGTCGGGAAAATTTTGAGTACCACATCCCAGATTCCGTAGCTTTCGGAAACGAGGAATAGATCGGATCTCTTCATTTCGTCATCTGGGGCTGCTCTTTTTCTGTCATCAGTTTGGTCGTATAATGTCTCATCAATCTGAAGCTTGATGGAACCGATTCAAGAAAAGCTTCCTCTTTTACAGCAGGTAATCTTAGAACGCTGGACATTTTGTGTCTCTGTGATGGATGGTCAACAAAATTACACCTTCATGTTAGCAATACAAGTCGAGTGATTACTACTTGTGATCCCTACTTATCCCAGACTCAAAATAAACTCACTCAATCAAAGGATAGCTAAATTTGATTTTGAGCTGTTTATTAGACATGGTTGCTCCAAATAATCTGACATGTCATACTTGTATCCCACCCACCTAAGTTTCAACATGATAAATCAACCCACTAATATGCAACAAAAAGGATATGATGATTGGTTGGAAGATGCATCTGCGCCGTGTTTCCATGTCTAAATAAATTACTCAGGCTGAAATAATTTTGAACCAAACAACCTTAGACAATAAACCAAAGGATACGCAGTTGCCTTATTGGACACTTCTTCTTCTTCTTCTTCTTCTTCTTAATAGACTCCGATGCTTACACAACCTATTCAACTTGCTCCACGATTAGACTATTCATACATGTGTCAACTCCGTATTGGATATTCTGAGATTTAGCAAGTCTCATCACCAATTCTCTTATGAGCAAGTTGCAGATAATCTTCAGAGTGAGATGGAGACTGGCATGCCAACCCCTCCGAGCTACATCGGCTGCTGCTCTTTGGGTCTCCAATCATGGCACCAGAACTTGATCAACAGCAGAAGAAGTCTCCACAGGTGGGCCCAGCAGCACCTGTCCCCCATTTGTCACTTGTTGGAAGGATAAGCCCTCAATCAACCTCCCGCCCGTCACAGAGAAAAGACATGCCCACTGCTTTCTCCTTGAAATATCCCGAACAGCAAGAAGAGCCTCTTTACCTTCTTCCATGATCAGTCCCTAATTCTATGACACGCCCTCCCCCCACTCTCTCATGGAGAAAACTTACCTAGAGATGGACTTGGAGGAGTGGGAGTTCCTCCCTGACGACAAGAGTTTCCTGGACTCCGGCCATGGCAGCAAGAAGGATGTGTTGCTCAAGGAGATCATAGTGGATATGAACTACTTCATCTGCCCTTCACACCCCATAACTTCCAAAGAAGGTCTGCTTCCGGTTATCTCCGTGGGGAAGAGCTCAGACGATGCTGTGGTCGCACCGGTGATCCAAGCGAACCAACCCGATGTGGTGTCTCAGGTCTTCTTCAAGAAATTGAAGGAGAACGAATTCGTCGACATGAAAATGGACTCTCCCAAGTCCAACACCAGGGGCGCCATCATGTTTCATGCGGAACCCGAGCATGTGCAGCTCGAGGAAAACGAGGAAGAGGAGATGGAGAAAGAGAAGGATCGCACAGGGCCCGAGATCAAAGGTAAGGCTTGTCGGGATGGCTTTGGGTTTACCATATGCAACTGGAGAGTAGCAGGTATTGGGGCCTTCTGCTCCATGGGAGCAGCTGCTGCTGCTACCATCTGCATCTTCATCTTCGGCGGCCGGCAGCAGCAGCGGAACCACAAGATCCAGTTCAAGTTCTACACGGATGATAAGGTGGTGTTCATCGATCGACCAAGAAGGCGTTTGGTTTGGACCGATCACTCCACTCATCAAATCTAAGCTTCCGTTCTGTGATCGCAGAGGGTGAAGCAGGTGCTGCAGCAGACGACCAGGCTGAAGCAGGCGCTGTCAGCTGCGAGGGCAGCTCCCATGACGAGGGCTCACATCACGTTCGGAGGATGCTACACTAGCGTTTGATCCATCACTCCACGAAAGACTCGAGGAATCAGCACCGCCAGATATGATGGAGGAGGAACAGTGCAAATGCAATCAGCGATGTACACATAGTAGAGGATATTAATTGCAGAAATCTTACCTGTGTTGTCTTTACATATGCTAATATATACTATCGATCAATTGCAACAAAGAGAAAACAGGGTTTCATGGAACGTTGAACGAGTCTCGCTCGTGCTGATGCAGCTAAAAACGTATGCGTTGGAGAAAACAAAGCTGCCATGAATGCTGATCATTTCTACTGCCACCAAGTCACAGCTACAGATGTTGTTTGAGCTTACTGTCTTTTAGCATCATCCTCATCTCGTCTCGTCTTGTCTTCGTACTATCGTATCATGGTCTTCATCTCCTTCGATACGGATACCGTATAGATCTATCTCCAATTCTCCATAAGATTTTGTTTTCCTTCTTCGTCTAGTAAGATCTAAGAAAAGAAATATCTTTCGGCCAGCAAATAAGGAATCGACGCAGTCAACGGTGGCAGGCGAAGAAGGCAAGCGAAGCCAATAGATACTGACCGTGAGTTGCGATGCACCGACGGCACCGTGGTGTGAGTGGCCTACATTGGCCTCGGGCTTCCATGTCCTTTTCACCTTGTCATTTGCATCCCTTCTTCGTATCCATTGAATCTGCATCTCTCTCAGGGATTCCAAAGTATTCCATCATGCGTATAACCAGACAGACTCTTCCTACACGTCTCTCGACCTCTCACCCTCTGCAATTTGTTCTTTCTAAGGCTGTCATTGTTTTCCATGCTTTTTCGTGTGTAATAATATCACCACCTAAATGAAATGTTTGTTTGATAGTTGTAAAGCATCACATTTACCATTACAATATATTTTGAAAGTAAATATATTTGTCATCGAATTTGATATGATCTTTTGAATTGGATATGAGATGTCAGCTCCCAGAGATAATGAAGCGCGAGCTGGACGCCTTGTTCCAATAGAGATCAAAAGTTAGGAACATGAACTCTACTGACCTGCCATTAATTTGTAGGATGAAGAAGAAACTCATCTAAAATGTGCTGTCAAGCAATCCTTTTTCTCTTGGTAAATGATATCAAGTTGAGAGAGCTTTTCGATCCATCGTAACAATGTTTTTTTTTTTGTTTGGTGATTTCTTTGAAAAATATTACTTTTATATTTTTTTCTCATATGATACTCCTTTTTTATTATTTTTTTTCTAAATAGTACTTTGTTTTATAATCTTGAAAATATCTTTTCTTCCCCTAATTTTTGTTTGAGATCCCGTTGTCTGTCTTTCCTCACCCATCGTCGCCTCTCTCCTTCCTTCCCCCTTCCCTTTCTTTTTCTCTATTCTCACCCCTTTCGCTGTTGCTATTCCTTCCCTTCCCCCTTAAAGGTAGAGAGGGTTCATAGTAAGAACAGGGATGAAGGTGAAGAGTAGACGATATTATACAGATTTGGCGAAAAACAATATGCAATGAAGAATGGGCAGTACTACGGAGACGACAAAGATGATGATGAGAAGTTACTATTTGAGAAAAATAAAAACAAAGGCACCATTTGGAGAAATAAAACCTTTTAAAATTATGATTTACTTTTTATAGTAAATTTTTGTTTATTGGCTTAACAAAAGCGAGTCAATCATCTCATGATTAAAATTCTATGATCAATTCAAAATAGTATAGACTAAGTTCAACTCAGAGTTTCTTAATAATAATTTTTTTTTATGAATTCCATGAAAGTGTTGTGTGTGCGTCACATCATCACTATCAATGACATGAATGTTGTTTTAATAACAACTTCGTTTTTACAATGATTTAAATACGAATTTTTAATTTTGACTATTTAATTAAAACGGGGGATGTAGCTCAAACGGTAGAGCGCTCGCTTTGCATGCGAGAGGTACGGGGTTCGATACCCCGCATCTCCATTTTTACTTAATAATTATTTTCTTTTTGGTAGTATAATCAAAATGTGAAGAAATATCTCTATTAATCAATTGTTTGCACTCGCACATGCAAGGGGGTGTAGCTCAAATGGTAGAGCGCTCGCTTTGCATGCGAGAGGTACGGGGTTCGATACCCCGCATCTCCATTTTTACTGAATAATTATTTTCTTTTTGGGAGTATAATCAAAATGTCAAGAAATATTTGAGTTATGGGATTCGATACTCGCATCTTCATTTCAATTGAATAATAATATAACTTTATTACAATATAGAACAAATAAAAATATTATATATATGGCATAATAATTTTTATTTTTGTAATATAAAACAAACAAAAAATATTTTATCTCACTTTTGAGTTTAACAAAAAAAAACAAAAAAACACAGTGTGGAGGTGTATTTCCCATATAATTAATTAGAAAGAAAAAATGGCATGCATTAGAGCTGCCTAATCTATTTGTTTTTCCCATATAAATAAATAACTAATGTTGATGGAAAAATCTTTTCTTTTCAGAGAAAATGGCTCCATTTCAATTGCATAATAATATGGCTTTATTGCAGTATAAAACAAACAGAAATATTATATATGTATATATATATGGCATAATAATTAAAATATTTTTTATTTTTGTAATATAAAACAAACAAAAAATGTTTTATCTCAGTTTTGAGTTTAGCAAAAAAACAAAAAACACAGTGTGGAGGTGTATTTCCCATCTAATTAATTAGACAGAAAAAATGGCATGCATTAGAGCTGCCTAATCTATTTGTTTTTCCCATATAAATAAATAACTAATGTTGATGGAACAATCTTTTCTTTTCAGAGAAAATGGCATTGTATTTGTTGTCCCATAGAGGTAACTAATGGTGATGGCTCCATTCATTAATATCATTATCAAAGATGCAATGCTTCTTGTAGCAATCACCATTTCAATGCTAATTGCATGTCCAAGCACTTGTGCATGGGATGGTGCATGAAAAATATCACCTTGCCTAATTGTCTTTGATCCTATTGTAATAATATTCTATTAGTACCCTATTAATTGGGAATTAAATAAATTAATGATATAATTTTGATATAGTCAATCTTGATCATCAACCTTACATGCTAAGATTGATCGGATTTATTATGTTTTCAAGAATTATCACATCATCAAGGAAAGGATATTCGTATATCATATTATATATTTCATTTCAGTTTAAGTATATAAAATATTTATATTTATATTTATACTTTATTTTATTCATGTTTAAAGACTACGACACAACTCTATTTTTTATCCCATTTTGGTTTGAATACAAAAAAAATATTTTATTCCTATCAGATACGCTTAACTTAGCCCTTAAACATAGATAAAAATTATATAATAATTTTTATAAATAAAAAATCAAAGTAATTGAATATGCTCAAATCCGAGTCATCTATAATGTAACCCAACTCATTCAATACTCGATGTTTTATTATTATTATTATTATTATTATTATTTTTAATAAAGATTAAGTGACAAAGGTGAGATTCGAGACGTCTTATGATAAATTGTTACTCTATTTGCTACACTAATTGGTATATTAAAAAATATATCGAATGAGATTTTAAACTCTTTCATTTTGATAAGAAGATTTGGTATACCACTGATACATTAATGTTTAAGATGCCAATATGTTGGGTTGAACTAAAGTCCAGAGAAATACCCAAAAATGGGTTGGATTGGGATTGAGTAGACTAGAGTTGGATTTTTTTCTAGATTAGGGTAGACTAGGGTTTGCCCTGAGTTGGCCCAACTCAGTGCTACTGTATATGGCTCGAATGCCTCCCGGTGTGGCAACAAAGACAAGCTTTGATGTGAAGTAATCACCCTCGTCAGCAACAAAGACAACCATGTTATGTGTAGTAGCAATGCCACACATAACATGGCAACTGATCCAATTTTGTTTCGAGTAGATTGTAGCAACATGATACCTTTCATTCTCTCTCTCTCTCTCTTCTCTCTCTCTCTCTCTCTCTCTCTCTCTCTTCTGGTCACAGCCTCTTGTCTCTTGAGTCTATAGCTTCAAAGGACAGGCCTACCTCTAAAACTTCGAGCACCAGATTACAGGAGGCAAAGCAAGGGAGACAACCCTACAGTGACTGTCCTTTAGAACTAAACCTAGAGAGACAGACTGTGAGAGACTTCTTGTCTCTTAAGTCTATAGATTCACAGGGCTGCTCTACCTCTAAAACTTCAAACCCTATCGTGACTGTCCATAAGAGAGAGAGAGAGAGAGAGAGAGAAAAGGGTTTGTCTTGCTTACAAAAACAATGGACTGTTTATTCATCTTTAAAATAAATAAAACTTTAACTCATAAGTCTGATTTGTTCATTATTCATGCGACCCCCATAAACTTATAAGAAACTATCCGCTTTAAGCAGTGGATGTATTCGCACGATTTTATCTTTTCGAAACTCATAAGCTCTAAAAAAAATACCTTCGAGGATAAGTATGATCCGATGAACTTATGAACATTTGATTTTCCTACTCCTCAATTAATGTAAGACTAAATATCCTTATCACAAGAAAATTATTTCTCACTAAATGTTAAAATAGAGTTAAATAAGAGGTTCTTCTACTCAAATTTGCCTACATAACTACTGAAAAAAACTAATAAGATTTCACTTTCAACTACCAAATTATACATCAACATCATCATCATAATCATCATCAACAAGAAGCTATAAGGTCAGCAATGAATCTAGAAAGCTAATTCTCAAACAGGAAAAGTGAGGTTCAATAATTAGCTGCTACTGAAGAGCAACCTAATAGCATTATGGTAGATGGGAGTGACATGCACACAGGAGGAGCAGCAGAGAAAGGAAGAACTTGATGGATTTAGTTGATGCACAAGTGGCAGATTTTTCTCATCAAAATTACAATTCTTTTTTCTGCAGCTATGCCATTTATAGCCACCATCATCAGATTAGTACAACTGTGGTCACAGAAATATCCAATTCATCCATTCAAAAAAGAAAAGAAAAGTTAAATAGATGCACTCATAATTCTCAATCACAAATAATATGTAGCTCAATAAAACATTTTAAATAAAATATAATTGTATCCATTAAAAGTATAAACTATATGGATAATATTTTATAGATTGAAATGTTCTTAAAAATAATGCACATAATTAGTAAACCGAATTTATAATTAGAGAGGAGAGTTGGTAGGTTGTGTTGTTGCAAGAAACAAAATAGTTTCAGGC